AAAAAAAAAAAAAAAAAAAAAAAAAAAAAAAGGAACAGAAAATTGTAGAGTTGAGCTACAATGTTGCGCCACATATGTTGGTGAATTTCTCTTAGGTCGCACCATCGACCTGCATGCTTCCCGATCGATTTTCTATCAGGTTAGTTGAGAGCCTTAACTCGATATGTTGGTGACTTCTCTTACCTGTTAAGTCACCACCGACTTGATGGCCAGATATGGATCCAGAAATTTTGTTGAGTGTGGGCCTAAAACTATTTTTGTGAGATGGCAAAATGGTCTAAAAAGAAAATAAATTTTTATTTTTATAAATGATTTAAAAAAAAAACAAATTATGATTTTTAAATTCATAAACGTAATTTCGTGCTTCGTACTCAAAATTTTTTACAAACTAAAACTATTGTCAATCTCTTTTAATTTTGTTATAGCATGATCCTTACAATCTATTAATATATAATAAGGATTAACTTAATTCACTTTTAGTAATTTTTTCCTGCCAAATTCATTAATTATTGTCTAGAATTAGTAACTTAACAAATTTTCATTAATTACATATTGTAATATGGAATAGATGTTTTTTTCCGATTAGAATCTCTATAAATATGGAATAGATGTTTTTTTCGATTAGAATCTCTATAAATATTAACTTAACAAACTTTCTATTATAAATAATAGATGTTTTTCCGATTAGAATCTCTGCAATATGGAATTTAGAATCTCTTGCCGAGTGAGCGTTTCCGTAAAAAAAAAATTAAATTAATTAAATCAATTGATTCCGTAAAAAAAAGGTAAATGCATCTATATGGATTTATTTACATATTGTTCCGTAAATTAATTACATATTGTATGGGCTTTAATTCCCGAAAAAAATAAATAAATTTGACGCGTGAATAAATTGGCAAAATCTATACTTATATAAAAAGGCATTCTATTTACTAGAATAGTAGTAAGAAAAGTCAAAGGTAATTAATGCATTTTATTTCCATCAAATATTTTATTTAATTGTTTTAGTTAATTGTTTTAGTTAATTGTTTTATCTCATAACACTTTTTCAATACAACTTACCATGATTTTTCTATTGTGATTAAAAACCAAATTTTACATTTAAAATCTTGTGAAATTATTATTATTATTTTTATAAAGCACATATATTATTTGTTAAAAAAAAATTGTATATATATATAATACACATCACAATACCATGGTAGATGATCTAAATTTCAACCGACCATAATGTCAATGATTTATATTTGAACACACCTATGCGTTTGACCAAATGTCTGGATGATTTAAAATTGAGCGCATAAAAAATTCTTTAAATTTGAACACACGAAATTTTATGTACTTTTTATTTATAAATATATTGAAAGTGGTATTTAATGGCTCTTATATAAACTATTTTAATATATTTGTAATGAATAAAATTTTGAATGAATAATTTGTAATGTTATTCATAATGTTTGTGACTTATGAAACACGGACACATAACTCCATACATATTTACCAGAAGGCGGCTTAATAATTTTTTAGACTTAACGTTGATTAAAAGAGGTAGAAAATAGATAATAACATTATTACCTTTTAGACTTAAACGGACAAGGCTGTGAAAATAACTCATTTAATATCTTTGTCCCGTGCATTGCACGGGGTACGTACTAGTATATTGTAGAGATAAAACTGAAAACTAAGTTAGAATCATAATAATGTTACCATATTTTTTTTAAAAAAAAAAAGAGAGAGAGAGAGAGAGATTGAATTGAACTGGAGTCTGGAGCTGAAATCAATAAATTGATCATTTTGGTTCGAAGCAGTAAAAACGTTCAGAAGTGGCCAAGTGAATCAATCCAAGTTTTTTTTTTATTAAATAAGTTTTGATAATGAAAATATAATTTTCAAATAAATATATATAGTAAATATTTTTACGCAAAATTTAGTGACGATAATTTTTGTCGCTATGTCGTCAGAAAAAATACCGTCGCTAATAATGTCCTAATATTGTCGCTATACGTTCGAATGTAGTCACAATAATACCTCTTATTGTGACAGTATTTTTTGTGACGACATAGCGACAAAAATTATAATCACTAAAAATGATTATTCTTGTAGGCTAGGCCCCTACTAGACTTAATGTAGTTCACCCCTGCTAATGGTTGTTCGACCAGCGGTGTCCTCGATCTCCAGTCGATCTATCGGTTTATAACTTGGTTCAATTAGACCGCTTTTTAGGTCATACTCGACCAGTCGACCTGATATGATATTCTATATCAATTACTATATTATGTACACATGTTGAGCTAGACATAAAATATGTAGCAAATATGATTGCAATCATTTAATATATGAATTTGTTATACCTAACAGACGATCCATTTCATACGGTTTCAGCATTTATACTTTGAACCTTCTAAGTCAAGTCAAAGTTCAGATGGCTGTGTACACCTTAGTCAAAAGTATGCTTGACTTTCTTACAAGCAACTCATAACTTGCATGGCAGTTCATAATTACAGAATTAATAATCAAATTAGTTAATTAAGCGTCTCGCAGCTTTTTAATATTATTAATTATTATGTTTTATCCGGTAGGATCTGAAATTATATCGAACGATTCACCAATACGTAGTTCAAACGATTTTACAGTCTATTTTACCGATTTTAATACACATATATTTAATTTATTATTATAATATAAATAACGTACAAAACCAACTTAAATAAAAATAACATTAACTAAAATTTAATAACAATGTAAACATATTAAAATTATGTGTGTAGACTGTAGAACACTCAATTTATATAAAAATATTAAAAAAATAATAAATTATATCTCTTAAAAAAAAATTGTATATCCAACATTTTAACCATATTTTTGCCAAATCAGTAATTGAATCCGCTAATCAAACTAGTATATACAGTCCGATATACGTCAACACAATCTACTATCAGTTATCCGCTAATTTATTTAGCTTTCTACTACGTAATTTCAGGTAATTATTTATTTTTGTGTTTCTTTAGTGTGTGCATGTCGTAATTGATATGTAATATGTATGTTATCTATTTTTATTTATTTTTGGAAAGCAGTATTGATTCTGAAAGTTGAATGCACGTCCATATTTGAAAGGAATTGGGTATAGATTAATGTGTATGGCTACCATCCAACATTTTATTATATATATATATATTTCTGGTTTTGTATTATTCCTTTTCCATTTTTCAAAGTGAAAATTGTCTCAGTTTTTTGCGCTAAGCATAGTGAAAAAGTCTTGAAACCGTCAATTTTTTTTTATTTACTTTTCCCCAGACTTAGTGTCAAGAAAATTACTTGACGGAAATTCCAACGAAAATATTAATGTTGGAATGTGTTTTTCATTAGAATTTTAGATGAAATTCGATGATTCCAACGACTTTTTACCGTAGAAATTTTCGTTGGAATATGCAATTACCGTTCAAATTTTCGGCACATCATATATATGCGTGTGTGTGTGTGAGGGGGATCAAATAAGAATGAATATTATATAATGAAGAAATAAAAATGAATCATAGTGACATATATGATATATTAGCACAATCAAGACTCCAGCTTTGGTCAAAGGGGCAGTGACATTGTTTTAATTATGTGTATTTTTTAACACGGGGACATTTTCGTCATTGTACAAAATACACTGTTACACTAATGTGTATTATCAAAGACACTAATGTGTAGTTAGTCTAATACTATTGTACATATTGTACCGCATTTATTTTTAGAGTAATTCTACAAGTATATAATATTGCACATAAGAGTGTACATAATACTCATTGAGTGGGACCTACCCAAAATAAAAAAAATCAAGTGAACCTCCTCCATATGAGTATTATGTACACCCATTTATATATTTATTATGTACTTATACCTTTTTTCATATTTTTAATGTGCATAACAACGTGATATTGTTCATTGCGCTGATCATTATTGTGCAAATATCAATTTTATTAAATTCAAGTTTTTTTTTTTGTTTTTTTTAGAGAACTATCTTGCAATATAATTAAACATTCATTATTTTCATATAAGTCTCTAGGACTTATCTAATTTTCAAAATAAAGTCCTCCCGATCGAACATTAGTCACGTCCGACGACACAACTCCCCGTTGCATGCGTGTGTGTGCATGTGTGAAATATATAAAGGAATTGTGTTGTCTAAATTTTTGTTTTAAATGTAAAAGTCAAATAAGTAATTATTCATAATTTACGCGTCAATATTAACTTCGACATAAGTGAAATTGTCAATTACTTATATTTTAATAAATACTCAACTACTTAATTTTTTTGATTTGGATAGTTTATGCAAAAATATATTCATTTTAATTAATGAAACAATATAAGTTTTATAATTATACTTATTATTCACATATGTTTTAAATATAGTATAAAATTTCGTTAAAACATTTATTTATGGAATCACATTTTAGCCAAATCAAATCTCTGAATAAATTTTTTAAATGACTCTTATTTTGATAGTATAATTTATTATTAGTTACGTGCACCTATAAATTGTATACTAATTTTAAATAGACATTCTTTATATAATTTTGTACAATTTAAATTTCATATAACATTTTTAATAAATTAATATAGATATATTGAATTTGTATTTTAATCCATATTATTGATTTATAAATATTATTTAATAAAAAAAATCAATTTATAATATTAATGAACATCTCTTACCATATACGTCCCACAAATTCGTGGTAGGAGTAACACCAACAAATTGCTAACATATTTCCATCAATTTATTTTTTCTTTTTTTTTCTAAAAAAAAAACATTTTTCGTTTTTCATCTTTATTTAAAAAAAAAATAAAAAAAATAAAAAATGCATACATTGAAATATCCAATTGCTGCCAAAGTTTTCGCATATGAATTATTGACTCCATAAAAAGGTTAATCCGCACAAAACTTCACTTTTCAAGTAAACTTCAAAAGATCAAAATTTTCCACCACCTATGAAAATGGTTTTTTTTTTTTCTTTTTTTTCAAGGATGAGTAACTAAATAGTAAATAGTAAATACAATTGCAAAGCTGCAGCAGCACTAAGACATGGCCACGGGTCGGCCCGACCCGCGGTCCGACCCGTGAACCGGCACTGCCCGGTGTTGGATTTTAAGGGAACAATACCAAAGATAAAAGGAAATCATCATAAGAAAAGCTTTTGCACTGAATATGATAATGATCTGTTTACATTGATGATAGCTGCGCAGGGAGCAGGGAAAATATATATACATCCAAAGCATAACCCTAGAATATTAACCTAAGGTAAAAAGGACAAGTAAAAATTAAAAAATGGTATCAAGATGGCATATTCTCATATGAGCTGTAATTTGTCTTTGCATGAGCTGCATGGGTCCCGTTTTCTTTCTCATGGGGTAGCAGCTTGATTAGGGAATGATTTGGACGATCAGTAGTTAATATTTCATCATCCCCCCTCAATTTTATCAAGGGTCGAGGAACTATGTGAAGTTTGTTTCGGAGCCGAGCATAAAATTGTCCAGAAAGAGGCTTAGTGAAAATGTCAGCT